AGCAGGGAAAAATCACAGCATCTTTTTCAAGGGTGTCCTATGGCCCTAAAACCTCTCATGGTACATCAATCACACTCTGCTTCCTGGTGTGGAACAGATCAATACTGAACACAGCAACTCATTGATATTGGACAGCTCCTGACTAAGATATAGCATAACTTTTTTGCTGCCTAGTGTAGCAATAATCTCCAAGGTCAATCTGAGTCATTCCAGATCGTTGTGATACATTGATACCAAGGAAATGTGGAAGGCTGCAGCTCAATAATGTGTTGTGAATGGTCACTTGTAAAGACAAATGCATTTTCTCTACTCTGTATAGGCCTGTTATACAAAGAACTATATTATCTTATACATAATATGAAAAATATATTTGGACCAAATTAGTGTATTATTTTTAAGACCACAAATGATCATTTTCTTTATAACCTCTAATTTGTATTTACTTAAGGTTCATTCATTCACCTTACTTACTACAACCACCATAGAAGACAACTGTTTCTCTATTAATCACCTTATTATGTGCTGTGGTCTTTGCATTTTAAGGATAATAAATGCTATTAATATAAAGTGTGATTAAATAAACTGTAAAAATAATTTGCCTTTCAATACAACAGCATCACTCATATAGTTATCACTTGTCATGAAGGATAATAGTCTTCCAAGAATCCAAAGGTAACTTACAAGACCAATACAGGAACTGTACAGTCTTTGGTAGGTTGAGGTTGAGCAAGTGTTTTAACATGAGATATCAGGTTGTCTATTCTGCAATTTGGTCATTATGAACTCTCTTTGATTCTTTCAATTTGCTTCTACCTGATGAAACCTTTGAGTCTCAAAGTGCTTGGTTCTTTTCCATATATATTCATTCCATCAGGTTTGGCGAAGGACCATAATAATTCATAAGAATAATTCGTGTTTATTTTTTCTATATCTCTGAAAAGCTTCTTCTGTCCTTTTCTGGTGCAAGCACCCTGGTTTAAGTGGGAGAAGGCCTACTCCTGGAATCTGAAATCTGACCCCTGTATGTCACAACCAGCCCAGCAAATTTAATTGCAGATGGTCATAGCTTCAGTGATTGTAGTGTCTTGAGATGACATTGATATTGGTGTGTCTATCTTCTCACTTAACAAATGAAATCTTCTGCAAACAGCATTAATGATACAAGGGATCCTGTCTGTAAACAAGTGTACCATGTCACTCAAATATTGAAAATAGAGTTGGGGAGGAAATGGACACGTATTTGAATCTTATAAGAACTTCAAAGGACTCTGTAAATATTTTAGTGACAGTTACTGCAAGCATACAATAACAGGCGAAGGATGCAGATGAACTTTAGTGGACATCTACACTTCAGGAGCATCTACCAGAATACCTCATTATTCATAGTCAAACATCTTTGTAAAGTCAAAGAATGCTAAATACTGTAGAGAGGTTGATGTTTCTCCTGACGTTTTGCCCTGTAATTGACAGGTTGTAAAAAAACATACTGACTGTGCCTCTGTCAGTGATTGTCAGCAGAGAGATTGCTCTGTAATTTCCACAGTTGGGTGTGAACTCTTTCTTGAAGATTATTAGAATCATGGCATCCTAGAATCCATTTGGGATTACTCCCTCATTCCAGATCTGAATGATGATAACATTGAGTTGGAGAGTTATTTCCTGTCCACTGTGCCTAAACAATTCAGTGTAACATAGGGCACAAACACAAACAGACCTTGTGGCAGTAAATCTGTTCTTCATGGCCAGCTTCTTCTGTTTGGATATTGCAACACACTGCCAAGCACAGAAAGACTCGCGCTTGTGATCAATTAGCTCATTGATTACCTTGTCATTGTAATCAATCGAATCCTGGTAAAAGTGGTAAAGATAAAAGTAGATCCTAAAATGGTGCTCAGTTGCAGTTTCAGCTATCAAAATTCACTTTGATTCACTCTCTTGCCACTAATTTTTTTACAGCCATCTCTGTACCAGATCATATCTAGAATCTTCCAGACATCACTTTCTTGCACCCAGTACCATTAGTGGGTCTCCAAAGCCCTTAGAGGATGAGCTGGGGATTGCAGATGCCTGCACATGGCATCTTTTAGTGTGGAAAACCACTGCACAGCAGCTTCCACACACTTCTTGACAGAAAGTAGCGTAAGCAAGCAGGCAGTTTTCAGGTTGGCATGGTGACCAAGAAAATTGGAAGTCTCATTAGCTGTAGTCTTTTACTGTCAGAAAAGCCATTGTGATATTCCAGTTTGGTACATCTTCTTCTGCCTGTTCTTCCATGTACAGTGGGACTTGCTTGTCATTAGCCCCATGTATGGAGGATGCAGAAATCGTAGCAGGCCTTCACCTTTTTACTTCACCCTGCCAATGCTGCCCCTATGTCAGTCATTGTCTAGATTCTAAGGCTAGGAAGGGACATAGAACTTTGACAGTCAGCGTCATCAGTAGACATGTCTACTGTAGCATTACCAAATTATGCCACATTGGTAAAGCATAGTGAAAGCAAAACATGCATATATTTAAATAAGGTGGGTTAAAACGATCTGAACTTACAAAGGTGATACTGGGCAGTGCAGAGAGTTTTATTGCAGAGACTTTGTATGTTTTACTACCAAAAGAACTCTTCAGTAGCCTATTTAACACCCAATCCAATCACTAATCACTGATTAACACCGTGGAAATCCTTTTCATCCCCAAGCATTACTAATTACACCCCATGTGAATGTGGACTTAAACACCACTAATAATCTCATTAATTAACTAATTATCACCCCTTATGTCTATATATAAATATTACAGGCCTTAACAACCTCTAGTGGCAGGTTAACGTCTGCAAATTATCACTAACCAAAACAAGATTTTTTTTCTTTTTTTAACATCAGAGTGTTTTCATTTTATTTTATTTTTCTAGACTTTAGTCTGGAATAATGATAGCCTTTACTGCCGTACTGAATGATTATAGTGTAAAGAATAGAATTAGTTTTACTGTATTTACATTCAAAACACTGGATGTATTTTAGATCTATGGGTACCATGTGAAAAAATGTGCTGAGAAAAGAAAGGTTTTAACTTATAATCATGCTTCTGTTTCCTAATGGATTGGTATACCTATTCTGTACTGACATGTCCAACCCTCCAGTAGTTCGTTCTACTACATATACTTATACCAATCAGGCCTGCAGAATCTTTTCTTCTGGAAAACTGTCAATCTATGTTGGTTGGCATCCATATGTAGAGAACATATACTGTAAATGTAAATGTACATATATATGACATACAAAAAGGTCTACACTATCCAAAAAGATTAGAAGAAATGCTGTATAAGCAACTGTAGAGTCACATACAACAATATGGGAATGATGTAGAGAAATGCATCATCAATGTTTGCAAAAGCAAGAAAATTATGCACACAGTCTACTGTTTGGCAATAAAATGCTATAATTTATGTGCTCAAACAATTTCACTGCATTCATTTCACACTCGGAGGCTGGGCGCTAGAGAAAAATAAGACAGGGCTTTTTCTTTATGGTTTCTTTGTGTTCATACATGCAGCAAGCCGGAGTACAATGTTTGGCATTCCACCCTTCTTGAATGTTGGTGTTTAATATACGCATGGAAAAATTTTGCACGGCACCTCAGAGGGTTAACCGCCTGACTAGTGGCTGAATTCCGATTGAGAATTCTTATGATAATGAAAGCTGCCTGCCCCTGGCCTCCCTGCCAGCTGGCCCCAGTGTGAGCGATGCTGTAAGGAGGAAGCCATTAGGGAAGTGCTGGAGGTGAGCACTAGGGCCCAGGTAATTAAGTACGAACACAGGCAGGGAAAACTAGGCCTCCAGATTTATGTAGCTTAATAATGCACACACTGCACTCCGTCTCCCATCTCAGGCACACTTTACAGGCAATCTCATAAAGCATTAACTACCTGACCATTCAAACGTACTCCATCATTCTCTATTTTTTCTGTCCTTTTTCTTTTTTTTTTCCTTTTTTTTTTCTTGAACAGTCTGCCAGCAGGCACCTTTCCCTGTGTGGCATAAGTGTTAGCATAAGTGCCACCTGCCTGTCTGCCAATGCCTGGCGAAGCAACATCACTGACGAGTGAAGTACAGAATAACAAGTGTTTCCCCTCCTTGCCCTTTTCTCTATTTTATACGCATTAGCAACAATTAAAATAACGCCTCTTTTGCAGAAAAAAAGGTCATGGGCTGAAATCCTGGAAGTACATTATCTTAAACAATAAGTCACATCTATTTATAGATCCAGAAATGAATAGTTTGTGCATGTTCCGTATCATGAAAGCATGCAGCGCAAATGTAAATAATTGTGGGTGAGGCACAAAACACACCACTCCAAGATAATTCATCTGCAAAAGAAATTAAGCAAAATATGCTCACATGATTCATTTGAATCACAGTGCTAGATTATAGTTTGATTATATTGCTTTCATAATGTGAACCGTCCTCAACAACTGTAGGACATAATTCTTTTGTTGGCTTTGCCATTGATCCCAACAAGGAAGACAGAAAGTGAGCCAATTCCCGGCCTTCATTTTATATAGTTCTGATACATGCTGTGTAAATATGTTTTAAAGACGCGGAAATGCTGAAAAAACGTCCCGTTTGTATGCTTCATTCAGTGAGGAATTAGTCTGACACTATATCCTTCATATGTCCATACATTCTGCTAGAAAAACAGACTTTAAATCATGTTACAGTATATTTATAAAATCAGGTAGATGGAAGCAGATGGACTTGCTTTGCTGGGTGTCTCATTATAAACGGACACAGTGTATTGTCTGTCCGGGGGGGCTGTATATGAGTGAAAATTCAGAGGCTCCCTGTGGCTGAACTGCTGTTGGCTCTAGCTGAAGGGCCAGACTTCTTGCCACTGATGTTGAACTGTGCATGTTTGAGGAAACAAAGGACTCTGGCAAATGATGTGGACATGTAATCAATAACAGACTTACTGACTCATAACTTGCTGGTTAGTAGCTTTGTACCTACATTTTTGATGAGATGTCATCACTCTGTTATCGGAGACGAAGAGTAGGAAAAGAGCTGCTCTGGGATCTCTTTCCAAGTCCATCAGTTAAATTCTGTAGTTTGAACAAAATAGATCAGGGTGCATATGAAGAGATAACTTCCTACCTGCTTGGTAAACAAATCCATATTCATTCCCAGAAAGGCACATTCTAAAATCTTTCTAAGCATTTAAAAACATGAGTGGAGGCAAATGTTTCTTTTTAACACTTAACAGTAAAGGGAGCCCTGTAAGTTAACAATGGAAAATATGAAGAAAGACGCATTTTGACAAGGTGAAATTTAACACAGTGATATATACTGTAGGTTTGCAGTATCTTATGTATAATTATGTGCTATTGTAAAACAGTAGCATGCAGCTGTAAGGGTTGTGTTTCTGTCTGGAACCTGTTTATGTTACTCTTATTTTACTTTTCTTATTTAAACTCCTTATGTTATTTCACTCTTCTTATTTACTCTTCTAGGCAGCAGCTATATCTCCCCGCAGCTCTCAACGCTACCCACTGAAGCTAAGCAGGGTTGAGCCTGGTCAGTACCTATTTGGGAGACCTCCTGGGAAGCTATGGTTGCTGCTGGAAGTGGTGTTATTGGGACCAACGGGGGGCACCCACCCTGCAGTATGTGTGGGTCCTAATGCCCCGGTATAGTGACAGGGACACTATACTGTAGTGGGCGCCGTCTTTCAGATGAGACGCTAAACTGACTCTCAGTGGTCATTAAAGACCATTTCTCGATAAGAGTAGGGAGTTATCTCAGTGTCCGAGCCAAAGTCTCCCCCTCGGCCTTTACTGTGACCTCCAACTTGTCCCCATGTATGATTGGCTTACACTCGCCCTCAGATGGACTGGTTTACCCTGCCTTGAGCTCGTTGCCTGCTGGGTAGGCTCCGACTTCCCACGACACCGTATGGTATAAAATGGTTTGGAAAATGACATACTGTAGTATGACATTTACTCTTCTTTGTTACTCTTCTTATTTCAATAAGAAAATTTGATCCCTGACTAGGTAAATGTGATAAACCATAATGATTCACCATCATCACATTGCATAAGCAATCTGGAACATCTTAAAGATTTTTCGGTGTTCCTGGTACTTTTGCCATGAGTGAAATGCCCCCTACCGCCATTGGAGGTCATGAGCAATTTATTGGCCTTAACTGAAAAAATGCACAAACAGGAAACAATGTTTAATAAGCGTTTGCATTGCAACAGTTGCCTTACTCTGCATCATTGAACAAAAAGGTTTATGACATTGCATGAATTACTCAGAACTCGTCAGAAGCCTGCCAACAGCTATTTCCTGTCCGCAAGTTTGATTAGCAGTTTTGTTCAAACCAATCTGCAGTGCAGGCAGTAGGGGCTAAATAGTAAATAGCATAACATCTTACTTTAAAACTGCAACTACCAAACCAGATTGAAATGCATAGTGTTGTTAGTTTTATATCAGCACTTAAGTATACTAAGTAGACATTTCATTTGGCTTAATTGGACCACTTTTCCTTACAGATAAATTATAAACATATTTTTGTGAATTTTATTCAACATTTCATTGAGGTTTTTTTTTATATAACCAATGAGCAGGATGACTCAATAAAAACACAACAGGTTGTGTAAATAAAGATATGGATTTCTCAATAAATGAGAGGACTGGCCTCCACATCCCTCTTTGCTTGAGGTTTCTGAATATGTCTCGGCATGAGCGTAATACTTTGTGTTATATTCCAAAATCAAGTAGGTAAACTGGGCAAGGGAACAATGTGAAGTGCAGCACGTACAGTATATTTATTCCTATCAAGCCATAAAGCATGTTTTTATTGTTATCTTAAGTGTACATAAGGACACAATACATATTAGTTTATGATTCTCTCCAACTACTGTATTCTCAAAGTCTCCAGTCCCCAGTTAAACCTTAAGGTTTAATCCTTGATGATAAAAATATGGATAGTTCCTTACTATCACATCTGAACTAACGATTCACCACCACGAGCTCACAGTTACAGGGCTACTCACATTGTGTACAGTCTATCCAGAATTCATTATTGTAAGTCAAAAACCCCAAACTGCTGTGATTGGCTGAACGGAATTTGTACTGTACTGTAATGCTCAAGTGTCAGGGTGAAGATGGCAGCACTAAAGCACACAGATCCACCGCTGTTTTCCTATTATATCTCCAGCAGCGACTGCCTCTGCAAATATATCTGATATATTAATTATCCTACAGTGCTTCCCCTTGCTAATAGGAAACCTGTTATTAAATTTAATTGAGCACATAAATTAAGAATATAACGCGATTTTCGTAAAGTGGGATTTCTTCTGCTGAGCTCAAATGGATTGTATCAGTGAATCATCAGTTTCTTTTTTTTTTGAATAGTTCTATTTAAATTAAGAATTCCCAGAAGAAGAAGACTGTGAAAAGTTTTAATGAGTGAACAATGCAATTTTAATACTGCATTAGAGAATGAAACTGTTGGGTTGACATTACTGATTTACTCTTTCATCACCGCTTTTATCACAATTAAAAGACCAAAAAAGAGTGCCGAATACACTGACAACATTTAAAAACCAGTACCAGTTAAGCTAAAGAAATAAGAAATACTATTTAAGGTGGCAGTTCTAAAACTAACGTTTTCAGGGTAGGCTTTATAAGTAAACGTCTTCCATCATAGAATATGCCATGCAATGGATGGCAGTTTTTAACTCCAACAAGCGATATAGTTATAATATTTCCCATAGGCTAAGAAGACTGACCCACATCCAGAAGAACTATTAACATGTTATAGTATACCTGATTGACAACCAGAGCCTAATGAGTCAGGGATCTGACTTGTCTTTTGATTTTAGGTTCATAGCCCCCAGGCGCATGCAGTATTCTGCAATACTCCGTCTTTCACACATGTGAAACCATGGACTGGATTTGGGAATGACAGGTTGTGGATAGAGTACGTCCAGATTTCCACTCCTTGACTAGAAACTCCTCTGCTGTGCTCTCTTGTTCCATGACTGCCCACAGTCTGCTCCCCACTGTGCTGCCCACACACACTCTGTTTATCACATGGCACTCCATTTTTTGGACTAGAGCTCTGCATATTCCACCTGCCACAGATGTTACCTACCTGAAGCAGCCAAAGAAAATTTTAATGTTGGAACAATGATGAACAACCTCTTTACTTGGGGAAAAAAAACAAACAAAATGCTATTTTTCCAGGGTTGCCAGCTTCTGGAAAATCTATAATTACCATCTGGGCCTCAGAAGACAGCAGGTTTGTGTAGGGGCAAATAAGTTTGAACAGCTGTCTTCCAGAATAGGGCACTGAAGGAGAAAAAAAACCTATTTGAATTGCACAGTATTCCAGGTGGATGAATCCAAGGGGGTATCTGCTGATCGCTACACTGGATGCCACAAGTCCACAGCAATAAGGCCACTGTCATCATTACTGTGCAGGGAAAGTTCTATTTTATGAGAAGATCTTGCTGGTAAATTTTCTGTCAGGCTGGTGTAAGGCAGCAGTCTGGAGGTGGTTTAATAACAGAATACCTAGAAGGTCATCAGTCCCAGTCATTCAAACTAATAATAAAAAAATAATAGCAAATACACTTGAGAAATCCTACTCTATGCAATGTACTGAGAAGCTCCTGCTAAATCACAACTTCTAACTCCCTGATACCTTGTTAAAGCTCAGAAATATTCCACACTGTTCCTTAATGGGTACTTGTTGCAACATTAGAAGAGCCTTTTTTAAATATATTCTTTGTAAAGAGTATGCTTGGAGTACGAATTATGTTTACCAAGTGTTTTGCTTTTTGCATTACAAAAATGGAAAAGAAAAAAAAAGCTGTTGAATTTTATATATGGAAAAACAAAGTACCTTTCCTGCAAAGAAGTCATTCATTAACATTCAGGAGGGTTGTTTTGCAACAATGGTGCCTATTTTTTGTTTCGCACTGGGATCAAGAAAGCTTGGTTAATTTGTCCTCATGACATAAAGACAACATCCTTTATGGGATTTCTACGGGAATTGATTTTGAAATGCATAGCGGGGACCTCATGAGTTGCTGTCTGACGAGCAGACAAGAACAGTGTCTGAACACACATTTCCTTCTGCAGAAAAAGACACATACTAACTCAAAATTAACCTTGAAACTTTCCTTGTTCATTCACAGCCAATCTGAAAAATAACGAAGGTTTGTAGTTTTAGGGGGATGTCACACTGTTTGAGATATATTCTCCTGTTGTGTTAGAGAACAGGAATGTGCTGTCTTACATTATTCAATGTCTGAACAATGCCGGTAATGTCTTCTGTATTTTAGGACAATCAATATTGAAAATAAATTATATTTATTTCAATGTGCATTTATTCAATATTTACTTTTCTAACATTTATTTCAAAGTTTTATTATTTTATTTGTAATTTTGACATAGAATATCTTCCATGATGCATGATTTTGCAATGTGTTTGCAACAATGGATTTTTTTTCTATGCTTGCCCTTTTGTTTCTGCAATAGGAAACACACATTTTTCAAATCTCCATAAACCACCTCTTTTCAATTTATTTTCCTTCTGTTGATTAAATCAAGGATAGTAATATTATTGTACTCTTTTAACCTGGTTAAAGAAGATTCACATGACACTCCTTCACATCTTCTGCCAGTATAGATTTGGTCATGATCAAATAACTCTTAAACTCACTAAAATTTTCTCAGTTGTCTCCTTAAGCCAACTGCTCAGTCTGTGCAGAACTAGAATTCTGCTGATTTAGATGACATTCCACTCATTCTGCTTTTGCAATGTGTGGACATTTCAAGCCTTTAGTGCATAATGCTGTACAGTTGATCTCTCAAAGCTCTTATTTTGCTTCTTAAAAAATGTCACTCATTAGAATATTCTAGCTACAAGAAAATATTGCTGTTAAACTCAAACTTAAAACAATTTCTGAAGGTTAGTTCTCAGGTTAGAAGCTGAGAAAAATGTCACCTAACACGTCATGACCAAACAAGCTTTCTGAAGGGTGAGTTTGGGTGAGTTCTAATACCATAAAGTGCCTCTTCCATATTTTGG